CTTGAATCCCTGGTCATTCTTTCTTTCCCGATGAGGTTTATTGCATTTCCATAGGACTGACCTCACCTGCATTCGCATGTTTAGAGAAGTATAAAGTTAACACAGTTTCACTTCACAGCTGTACTTGCACATATCTTCATTATTTTATGTGTCACATAACCTGTAAATTTGCCGTACTTACAGTAATCTGTTGGCTTTTAGTTTTGAAGTGACTGATTTTGCCAGGACATTGTTCCAGTGCATGTTTGCTTCATTCTGTAGCTCACCCATGATGGTCTACATCCATTAGCTCAAATGGACAGAGGAGTGTCTGTGCCTAACGTGTTGGAACCAAAAGCAAGTATCATGTGTATATTCGTGTTTTTTTCGTTATCATTTACAGTAATTCTTTGCCAGATCATGTACTAGAGGAAACTACACTGACCTCTCATGTTTTTTACATACATTTAGAGGTTATGTGAAAATACAGTCTGCTGGCAAAAACTAGTACATGCAGGACTTTGACAGTTTTTTTCTGAAGGCTGAAGTACTGGTACTATAGACTTCAACTATCCATGAAAGCTGTGCATGGTTTTATTATATGCCTGGTATATGATGTGCTAACGCCAGCTCTCATCTCAAAAGCTGATAGTGTGTTTGCAAATGACTGTATTAAGGTGTAGCAAATGCAATAACCAACATAAAAAGCATTCTTATGCAGTCTTTGTCTTGCCAAGGTCTACCCATATGAAATGCTCATAGTTACTGATAGAGGACGAGTAAAGCTTCCCAAGGATGTTGACAGAACAAGACTTGAGGTACAGTGAAGCAGTCAAGTGTAAGAAATGTATTCCTACAATGTGATATACCTTGTCTTTTTTTAACCACAGAAGTGCTGTTATGTAACTCTAGTTGTGCTGTACAAATCATTAACAAAGGGGAAAATGATCACTGCTTGATTAAGTACCAAAGCTGTGTGCAAAAAATACAAAAAGTACAAAAGATGACAACAGACAGTACTGTATTTAGTTTCAGTCGAATCTATAGTGTGAGAAATGCACCATAAAGATTAAACTGTTCTTCTTTTCCACAGTAACCTGATTCTTTTCTTCTGTCCTGTCTTCATTTGCAGCGCCACCTTTCTCCAGATTCATTCCTTGAGATTTTTGGCATGCAGATTCAAGAATTTGACAGACTTCCACTTTGGAAACGTAACGACATGAAGAAGAAGGCCAGTCTCTTCTAAATGCTGCCTAATGCATGTTTTAACTCACTGTTTAAAGTGTTTTGCCCAAGAAGAGGATGAAGCACAACTTTACAGAGACACAGTATTGTGTCCCTGTAAAGTTGTGCTTCACAGAGACGCAATACGGTGTTTCTGTAGGCTATTGTTATGAATAACGGTTAAAATTAGATTACCCCAAAGTAGATATGAACATGAAAACTCAACTTAGCTTTAGTCTTGACATTGGTAATAGTAATTATTTGTCTGTCCTACATCACCCCTGTCTACCCAGGAATTAACTAACATTCAGCTGATTCAGCTGTTCGGATAGTGTCATGTTGACTTTGTGAGAGCTACCAATGAAGGTATTCTTTCCTATTTAGTTGCCTAACTTGAAAACTGGTAGCATGCTTTGAAAACCTTTTTTTTTTGAAAAGTGGTATGTTTTCACTTTAGGATGAGAGTGCCAGATCACTAAAGTGCTCACGCTGTGTATTATTTAGGACTAATTGTGCAAAACCTTGGATTATGTTCGATGACAGAGAGCTTAACTGTTTTAAGTGATGTATCTGCAAATGGCAGCTAGAAGGTGGTGGTCGGGGGTTAGTCCTAAAAACACAACACAAACAAACTGAAACAACATTTTCACTAATATATTTTTGCTTGCCTGAATGAATGACTTTTCCAATGCAGTTTGAAAACATCGTTCATATCTAAAATGGTTGTGAAGTTTGTTAAAACCTCTGTATATTCTTGATAATACTTTCCATGTATACCTTATGTATTGTATAGTGACTGGGTATATGACATAGACATAGCTTACCATCACACATACTGTAACTCTGATGCAAGATACTGTATATCCCTCAAGGACTGAATGCATTTCACCCATGTTTTAGTGAAACTACTATATTTTTTCCCTTAGTTGATACTCATTTTGTTGTCTCTTGATGACACAAACAACATGTTCAAGCACAAAACCTATGAAAATATGTGAGAACTGTATTTCTAATTAAGTATCACTGGACTGTGTTACTGAATGGTTACAGGAATAATTAAGATGATTAAATAATCTTTTTTTGTTTATGTTTCACCCAGCTGTGGTAAACTGTAGAATTACTTTGACTATTTAAGCACCAACTCAAAAGCCCTAAATGAAATACTGTGCTTTTTACAGGATGAGTAAATACAGTAAGTGTGTTTTCATTTGCAGGAGGTTGTGTATGAATACTGAAGTGTATTCCGTATAACTGGGTTTTTGAAAATGTAGTTTTTTGCTTTTATGTGGACTTCAGAGAACCTGCCCATGGTGACAGATGTTCTTAAAGGTATCTGTACTCTGCGTAGATGCCTTCATGATTACTACTCTCTCTGTAAAATATGCATTTCTAAAGCACACAAATTTCAGTCACAGTCAGTAACCAAATCACTGTTAAACATGCTATCTTGACTTATGATGTAGCTGAAATTCTAATTACTACCCGACTTTCCTGTACTTCTGTCAAAATCAAGAGACAGATGGAACATCTTCAGAGAAACTATGGTAGAACACAAGCAAAGGACAACCAAAGCAAACCAGTGTTTTCACACTCGCCTAGAAAAGGTTTAAAGCCCTTCCATGCTTTTGAATAACATCTTGCTAAATGTTCCGTTACTATATTTTAATCGTGTAATATAATAAGCGACCAATTGTTACGAAATAAATGTAATAAGACAACAAGTGGTGAACCAATACATTGGAAAGCATGACAACATTTTCATAACATCACAGTATTGTGCAACACTTCATTTTTTCCACACATAAACTCAGCTGCATGTCCGAAGAATTGCAGAATTTAGTGACATAAGCTCCACCTGCTATCTACTGTATCTCATGCATTCCCATTTGATTTCGCTCTGACATACAGTATATGTATGTTTATCTATATTTTTATTTATTTATTGTCTTAGACCTATCCACTGAAATTTAACACCAACAAATGGTGCTCTGGAGCCTGGAATCAAAACACTACTTTGGCATTACTTTCCAGAATTAACAGCTGTCAGATGTTGTTTCAACTTGTATTTGAGCAGTATATTTAGGACATCTTTCTTTTTCCCTTTATCTACCTAGATGTGATGCATTAGCAATGATATTGCAAAAACAGTCCTGAACAGAGTCCCTTCCTTTGTCTTGTTATATCAACCAGGGTAACATGATAGAACAATGTAAGCAAATAAAGCCCACATTCATGCTTTGTTATCTACTCCTTTGTTTGGGCCACTGTTATCTCCCACTGTTTGTCACTGTCATGAGGGAATGTTTTTGTTGTACTTTTGTGTATTTAGACTTTTGCATACACACTCCAAGGTGTTCTTGTTTATAAGTTATTATTACTAATTAAAGCCTAGATGAGCTTGTCTCATTTTCGTTTGGGTAACACTTCTTAACATACTTTTCACTGTTTAATGTTTTCATGTTGGACAACAGGAATTAGAAATGTTTTGACTCGATTAACTTTATTTTGTCTTTTTTGAAGATTAGCACACCGCACGCACACACACAAAGGAAACAAAACAAAATCATACTAGTAATGGGGGTAGCCTGAATAAAGTTAGCCAATAGTCGGTCTTTTCCGTTTCAAATGAAAAATATTAGTTCAGGCTAATATTAAAAACATTACAGTTTCACATGGAAGTTGGTTTTATTATTGTGGGTTCTTTAAAGCCCACCTAGCTTGAGCGAAAGTAAGGGAGATTTTTGACGATTTCTATTGGATGCGGTTTCGTTCTTGAGCGTGTCGTGTACATGATTGGTCGAGGTTGCTGTCACTCACCGCTTTACTCAGCTTGTGAGCACCTCCTCATCTCTCCCTGGCCCAACCGACGATTTTCACGAAAACATTAACCGCAGAGTGCGTAGCGGTGCAAACGAGAGGGTGTTACGACAAACAGGATCAGACATTATGGATTTAACTGTACGGCAACCGTGTTGGTGGCGTTTGTAAAGTTGTTAAACGGTCCTTGGGCCTTAACAGAGACTAGATGTGTGAAATAGGTTGAACTGCGATGATTGCGGTATCACTTGTTTGATAGAAAGACACGGGAGAGAGAGAGAGAGAGAGGGAGAGAGAGAGAGAGAGAGGGGCCAAAGTGGACTCCCTCCCTCGGTAGAGCCATTCCGGTAGATGGAGGCTGACGGGACCTTTGCAACGAGCTGGGGGCCCGGAATGTCACCTGTGAAACGTCGACACTTTATTAGGGGACACAAGAATTAAGGAGAACACAGAGTACACCTGTGTGCGCTTTCGACGACTTATTTGACAACTATAGCCTGCAATAACAAAAGTTAGCAGGTAAACGTTAGCTGCGGGAGGCGACCCCTCCTGCAAGATGTCCATCATAGACGTCACTTAACGAGAGGTTATTCACTGCCTCAGGTAACCCAGGACAGGTGAAGTGCGAACCACAGCCTGCTTAATGGACTTCACACGGCTTTCATCGAATGGGTTTGTTATAGAAAGTTGTCTTTTTCATATCTAACCGCCAACCATTTTTGGCTGCGAGAATTGAGCGATTTTGGAAGAAGCGACTTGTTGGAAAATTTTCTCAGTGTTTCCGTCTACACCAGCAATGTCACTCAAAGACAATCCCTGTCGGAAATTTCAAGCCAACATTTTCAACAAAAGTAAATGCCAGAACTGCTTTAGGCCTAGAGAATCACATTTGCTGAACGACGAAGACTTAAACCAGGTGAACAAATGTTTTAAGCATTTATTTTATTGATTAGCCTATATTTCATATTTGTGATAGGTTCTTTGCCTATGTAGACTACAGTAAGGGAAAAATATTCTTTTTATGTTGACGTTTGATGGTCACATTTCAGACAGTCTGTCTTGTATCCATGGACTATGAAGTGCAGGGGTTAGGTTAATTGGACATAATTAGTTTCCAGCCCAGGGGCGCCTACTGACCTCAATTCATGCAGATCTAGGCCTGCAGCTCTATGCCTCCCAGCACAGTAGCTTACTTACAGCTGCTGCTGTTGAATCATTTGGGCAGCAGTTATTTCCGTGAATGCTTTTAAAAGTTGTCCCCGCTAGAACTATGTTCTTGTGTGCCATTTTACCTAATTTGTTTTTCCTCTCGCTTTGTTGGGTTCCCATACACCCAAATTAGCAGTCAAGATGGGCCCTAAAGGCACAAATTGGGCAACGACAAAATTACATTGTCAGCTCCCATATATAAACAACAAATGGAAATATTCCTCTAATGCTCTCTGCTGGGCTGTGTTGATACTGGCATCTTTAAGAAGATGGCATTAGGACTCACTGGCCTATATCCTGATCATTCCTTTTGGTAAGCTGTTTAAGATGGGTTAAGAGTTACCTGAATCCAGGTTGACAGTTTACATGAGTGACACTAATGCTCATTGGTAGTGATGCTAGGCTACTATTTTGGGATGCATGTTGTCTCAAAGTTTTTCTTCACTACTGACATTTGTGATCCAGTGCATATCAAGCTTATCCTGTGATGGCTGCACATAGGTTATCATATCATGTCAGACACTGACCTGACCTGAGATTTGCAGATCACCTCAAGTCATTGTTTAAAGGTCCTACTGCAAGAAGGCCTGTGAATCTCGTTCTGTGCACATTTCGGCAAGCTGTTCTTCTTTCCTTCCTAGCTCCTCACTCAAAGGCCCACACCATCAGTGCAGTATTAGCCTACATAGTAATTTTTGACAGGAGGGAATAACAAGTTGGGGGTCGCTGTGAAATGAACACACTCAAATGATTCGGTGTAACCACTGAAGGGTAAAAAAAAAAAAAACCCGGATTCATCTCGTCTATTTCACCCTCTCAGGAGGCCTTACCATTTGGGCTGCTGTCAGGTCATGTGAGGAGTGATGGGACTGTTTTCTCTAAGTGCTCATTCTCAGTGTTTCTCTTTGATTTTTACACAGACAATAAAGAAACTAGTGATATTAGTGTGTTTCGCTCTCAACCTTCCCTGCTCTTTCTTGCAGTTCCATTATCAAATGTCTTGGTCTGATCTTTGACATGCTTTTCCTTTGTGCTCTCAGGTTGTCTCTCAAAAGTTGGATGTCGTTTCTCTTGCAAGTCTGCACAAACTCTTGACTGTTCAGATTTGTGGTTACAACTCAGGGCGGAAAATTCCTGTTATGTCATTTTGTTTATAGAGTCACTCGGCTGAGAAACTTGCTGTACCTCCTGTAATCAAAACGAAAGAGGATTTTATGGTGGATTATACCTGGCTTTTCATGTAATGAAATTAGGGCTGTAATCAAAACCACTGCTAGCGGGACATGAAGGTGCCAGGCGGCTGTAAATGTCAGAGCTTTTCAACTTAATTGGTAGGCTGCTGTTCTACAGACTTGGGAGTGCAGTTGAATTATGCAAGCTACTTAGTTCTATAAGCTGTTTAGGTGTAAACATATTTATTCATAAACAGACTTGAGTGTGAATATATTTAGTAAAATTTCTGCAACTTTACCTATAAGTCTGCAATGGTTATGCAGAGCTTTTCTGCTCAGAAAAGAGTTGCTGACTACTAGTCTGGCTACGGTTCAAGTACGTGCCAGAACTATTTAAGAACGACTGCCAGGCCAACTTTCTCAGTACAAGTTTGAATTGCAAATCTGTATCCTCAAAAGCTCCTAGTACCACTTCTCTCTCCTGGTTCTCATCCACTGTTTTTTCTTGCTAACTTCTGCTTCTTGCTACCCTCTCTACCCACAAGTCCACCCACTTAGAGGATCAGAGAGAAAATCATGTGTGTTAGTCTTTCCCCCTTTTTTTTTTCCAGGGAAGCACAGTGTCTTGGAATACAGCCAGCTGTAGCCTGTTGTCAATTCAAGGCAGTTAATACACACCCTCCTGGAGTTGAACTAAAATGTGTGTCGGTGTAATGCCGTCTGATCTTGGGTCACAATTTGTAGCATAAACTTAGGACTAGCCTGCAGGCATATCTGCAATGAATTAATGTGCATACTTGAACTGTTAATGCGCCTGTTTAAGTGTGTGCTGTCAATAGTCTAATTGTATTTTAACCTCTCCAGGCAAAACCTGTATATGGAGGATGGTTGCTCCTTGCACCGGAGGGAACCAATTTTGACAATCCCTTACACAGATCTCGGGTAAGTGGTTTCTCAAGTGTTTATCTTTGCTGGACTGGAAATGAATTGCATTAAGAAATTAATATTGTTTTTGATTTCCTATTAATGAAGAAGCTTTTGGGTAGAGCTTCATGAAATTCATGAGCTAAAAATGGTGTCTTTTTAAAGGTAACAACTTTATTTGACCCATTGCCTGTAGTATCTGCTCATGCCAAGGGGTAATAGGTGCGGTTCCTAGGATTTTCTGTGCTTGAATATGAGGTGGATAAAGTCTAGTATATCACGGCAGCTCACAGGGTGCCAGATAAGTTGGAGGTCTGGTTATTGCAGCTCCTGTAGCTGCTTCACAGCTTTCTGTGGGAGGCTTGGCCTTCTATCAGAAGAAGCCTCATTTTCAGGAAATAATGAGCCTAATATTGACTTGATTTCATGAATCAGGCTCCACTAGCATCATGTAATGGGACCTTTGTGCTGTTGAATCGCTGCCTTTATCAGATTCTAGATTATACTGTGGTGATGCATCCCAAAGAGGAGTAGGGAGAATGTGGGGGAGGAGAAGGAAAGGTCCCAGTTCTCACAGCTGCCCTGATGGCTTCCATATGGGTTTTAGGAAAGGCACCTCTGGATATTCCAACTCATCTACTGTCAACAGTCTGCTGCTGCTTTGACAGCTTCTCCCAACTGTCTGCCTATTCTTACAATCAGCTCTTTACTGTGGGGGTATAATTAGTGGCATGTACAGATAGCTGAGGTGAGCAGTGTTGGTCAGTCAACACTGACCTACAAATGACAGAGAACAGGGTGCTGACATGTTGAATGAGTCATGTTTTAGAACCACTTTTCTGACAGGTTGTGAGTCTGTGGCTCTGTTTTGTAATACTGAGCCTAATACATTATCAGTAGCTCCTTGTAAGCCATATATCACTTGGTTTTTTTTGTTTTTTTTGTTTGTTTTTTAAATATATATAATGGTATCTCTGGATGTGACTGCAGTGTCCATCACCTGTGAGAGTTATTGGTAACCTTACTGAGATCTTCCAATTCCTTTTAGGTTACAAAGCACCTCTCAATATTTTATGGATAGGGCTCTGGAGCCCAGGAAATTTAACACGAAGACAAAACAGTGCATTAAGATAAGAGGAGCGCAGCAGAGAGCTGATTGAGCCAATGAGGAAGGAGAGCAATGCAAACTGTCACCGTATCATTTGCAGAAATTCTGATCCTGTAAAATGACTTCCAGTGTATATTAAATTTCACCTTGTAGTTTCAGAAGCATGGTCATCGTCTTTAGAAGGCTGGAGTCTATTAACATTGTGCAGGATGACGTAAGATTGGCAGACATCAGCTCACAGTTGTGTGTATTTTACATGTCTGCCTTTTTAGAGGGTTCTGGTCATGGTGCTTGGCTTTTCTTGTCATCGTACCTGCAGTCAGCCGGGACATAACAAACTGTTGATTTCCCATCAGTTTTCTGTATATAGGCTTTCTATTCTCAAATACAGCTGTGAAGAAAAATTGTGTGAAATCTGGATGATTGATTTTCAAACTGAAGTATGATGTTGCAATCTTGCCCAGCTGGATGGGAAGGAGTGTGTGTGATGTGGTATGTACTGAAAGTGTCAAGTGCCAAATGTTTGGCATGTTTTGTGTATATACTGTTTATATTTGTAATGGCCAAGTCCTTACACCCCTAGTTGTGCAGTATATAAAATGTAAGGTTATAATTGGAACATTTACTGATCCAAAGACAAACAGTACAATAGTTGACTAAAACTGGCTAATGTAAATAAACCGCTTCCAAACTTGCTTCATCCTTTATAAAATACTAATGTGATTTACTCTGGGGCTGATGCTGATAATCTACCATTTGATTATCTCGATAATGCAACAATTTCTTTTTCTTTTACAGAAATGGCAAAGGAGGTTCTTCATCCTTCATGAGCATGGTTTACTTCGCTATGCTCTGGATGAAATGGTGAGTGACAGTTCTTTCCCTGTTGGCTGCTGATTTTTGTTTGCTTGAGAAATTTTTTTTTTGTGTGCAATAACTCCTAAAACAAAAGCTTATGGCTTATATTCGAATAATGGCAACCGCATATCAACACGAATTGGAACAGAGCAGGGCATAGAGAGGCTGATTTTACACTTGTTTATTTCTGTTTATAAAAGGAGTTGGTCTCAGTGAAAGCTTTTCACATGACAAAATTGCATAAAAACAAGAGGAGAGAATATTTACTGACTTTAAAATGTGAGTTCATAGTTATTTTGTTGGTAGCATTTTTGTCTGAGACATGGAGTGTAAGTGGCTCGCTGTCAATTTAACAGGCAGTCACTACACTGTTAACACCAGTGCTTCTTGCACATGGCATTTAATGACTGTGCTAAATACCAAGATAACTAACGCAGCAATGTCAAAAAGGAATGAAGTGACACCACACGGTGTTGCTACAAAGTCTTGTGCCCATTTGCGTGTTTAAGTGGCATTGTGCAAGAGCCCCTTTGCTATTTCCTGCTCTGAAAGAAAAACTGGAAGAACCACTCAAAACCAGCTGGTTGTCTCTAGTGATCTTTATTGGCGCCATTAGTGAAAGAGCTACATAAGAATTCTAAAATGAATATGTAGACTCTCTGTGTTTGAGTTCATGTTTTAGTGGGCCACTTGTTTGATATGGTTTGCCGGCTCTGCAGTGTAGCATGTGGGCGCGCAGTATATTGAGCTCAACATTTTTATAATAAATGCTGGAACTGCTTTGAAATGAGGTGAAAGCAGAAGTTGAAACAACACTTGCTGTGTTCCCATTGACCTTTTCATACTGTATGTGGCCTTCTCTGGCAGAGCAGAGAGATGCTGAGAGGTTTTATGTAACAGAAGCAGGAGCTAGGACATTAGGGGTCATAGAATTCTTCTAGAGAAATCTGGTCCATGTTGACTGGCCAGGCTGTTATTTACACAACACATCCAATAGCAAGGAGGATCTTGCTTAACCAAAATTTTATTATACAAAACATGGCAACAAATTGTATACTGGCTGTAATGTCTTCAAACTGGAGCCAGTAAATTATATTGGCGAGGCACTAGTGGAGGATGATGACACCAGGAGGAGGAGGAATGAGGTGTGTACATGAAGGGACAAAGGAAAGAGCAAATGTCCCTCCATTCATTGTTCTCTCTGTATTACTCTACATCTTTTCATCTCCTTTCTGAATGATGGATCAAAAGCAGAAGTGAGGGAGGAGGGTCTGGAGGTGGAAATATCAAGTGGGACTAAATATAGGAGCACACTTGTCACATCAAGTGCATTAGAATAATTGTTTTGTGTTGAATAAACAGTGGCACAAACATGTATCTGGCACTAATATCAGGCAAGTTTATGTTGATTAGTATACATGGCCACAATCAACATTAAATACAAGAGAGAAATTGACAATGTTGTTCTAGACCACTTCAGAGCCACCATCTGAGAGCAGTGGTTGAGGTTGTAGATGAGGAGTTGACCTTCTGTTTTCCTCACGGCCTAGTTTTATGGCTCTTGTGTCTTGGCTCTAACCAGACACAGATGGGTTGCAGTCCCAACCTGCAGGATGTGGCACAGCTCTCAGGGAAAGGAATGAGTTAGTAAACGCCTGGGAGAGATCACAGTTCTTGGAGTCATCAATTTGGGGTTGCCCTCCTGTGGTGAACACCCAGCATGACACACACATTTTATTAGAAGGACCATTATGTGCAAGAAACAAGTGGTAAACAGATGACAGTGTAGCTGCAGTTAGGAGCTAGAAAAAGAGAAAATGTGTTCCGTCATTGATTCGAAAGAGAGGTTGAATAGCTGAAAATGCATGCGTGCGTAGGACGTGCTGCCATGCAAGGCTAGTGTGTTATTGCGTTGTTCTTGGTATAGGCCCTGAAAGAACAGAGTTAAAATGTTTTGAGTCTAAGGTAGGCCACTGAATTTTAACGCTGTGTAATTTATTAGCTGTAAATTCCAAGATATGGCACAGTTACTGTACATTCACATTGATCCAGAAAAAAGGCAGCTCCCTGCTCTGTTTTAACACAAGGGTCAGGGGGGTGAGGGGCCACACGAGGAATGTTTCCTAGGTGTGTACAAGACAGCCATGCTGTGGCGAGTCAACATGAGTGGCTTCATTTATGTTTCCAGCCCAGGGATTTCCATTGTGTTTTGTTTGGTTAACCATGCTGCTAACGTAGCCTGTTCTACCTTATCACCAATTCTACCACCAGTGTGTCAGCAATGATAGATAAAACAAAACAGAAAAACACAGGTTAGCATTCAGTACTAATGATAATGCATGGTGTGTCATTATGGTGCATTAATTGTGACCCAAATTTGAAAGTGAATAGCAATGAATGCTCATGCTAACAAGGTAAACAAAAGCCTTCTTCCTTTGGGCGTCCACATCCTGATCGTCCCCCGTACATGATTAATCAACACAGCACCTTTGCTGGATGATGTCGCTGTCTGGCGTGGTGAAAGTTGAATCAGATCCAACTTTTTCATCGCACAGGGTTGCGTCATTTTGCTGGAGCCCCCTGGAGTGCTGGTGCTGGCTGCGGGGAACACAATCCCCCATAGAAATGAATGAAGACGGCTGCGTTTTTTCACAGTCTTACTCATCCACTCAGTTCAGTCTCCAGCATTTGCTGAAATGTACAAGCTAGATTTTCCCAGAGCAGCCCTACACTTCTTTCAGAAGAGCGTTACCTAGGCAACATGTTCTGTCCCTTTGTCCAGCAACATCTGACCAATGGCATATGTAACATGGGGCAGAGTTATTCTCTGCTTTGTGGAGAGCTCTGGCTGTCTCTGTCCTGACTGTGGGGATACAGAACAGAACACTCTGTAAGTGAAGCGTGAGTGTGTGGGCTGAGCTTCTCTCTAGGCACAGTCGGTGGTGAGCAAGCCTTTCTACAGTAGCTGTAGAAAAGAAACATCAGACACAGCATCAAAACAAATGTGCAAGGCTGGATTGAACAGAGTTTGTGCTGAAGTGCACGCTTCTGTGTGTGATTGTGTGGGTGGATGCACTGGGAATGAGGGTCCTTGACTGCAGAGGCCGTGTCAAACGGGTGGCTGAGTTTTAAAGCTGACACTCAGGAAGTGGCCTTATAATCATTTAGTAGCAAGAAAATGAAAAATCAATAATACAGACAGTTGTCACCCATGATTAAGCTGTTTAAATGATATGAGAAATAAACACACACACACAATCCATTATCACCTTGTGGTGAGGGCAAATACGTGGGTTTAAAGAACACTCCAGCCTCACAAAGCCACTTTGACATCAGTGCGAGTTAAAATGATCACCACACACTCTAATAACTACTTGGCAATGTGGTCCTTAATACCTCACACAGTACCTAACTCCCACTGACTATGCTTTGACCTAATTGGAACCTGTTCTCATGGACAAAAACACCCCTCTCTATATGATATAAGGTGATGTTTTTCTTTGCATTGTCTCAATCTCTGCTGTGGTCTCTGAGCTCGCACTGAGTTGCAACCTTATTTAAAATTTATTTTTGTGTGTGCCCTTCTTTAGCCTAAGAAGGCTTTTGCATTGACACACTTACGGTTGAAGGTGGATTGTGTTCAATATTTTGTCACCCTTTTTAATGGCCTTTTGTGGGTGCTTTGAAAAGATGGTGCACTTTGTCTTCTCTAACTGATCAGCATATGTACTTTAGTCCAGACTGAACAGGCACAGTATACTGTACCTGCAAATAAAATGAGGCTCCCCACTGAGTTGCAGTACACAAAAAGCCAGTTCAGAGTTAATTCAGTTGCCTTTGCCTTTAAACTGTATTGACTGCAGTCGACTGTCTGTACCACAGCCATATCCTCCATTATTCCAATGAAAACACGATGTCTCAGCTGTTGAAGTCATTCTCATTTCTTCTCAGCTCAGTTCATTTCCCGTGTTTACTGGACTTCAAATAGTGAACCCTGCCCCATAGCGCTGTCCAGGAACTGAGAGTTTTGACATATTTCCTTCCATTTCCCACACATTTGTGCATTCTTTTAACCTGATGTACACTATTATGCTGTCTCTGCTGAATCTCTGACTGCATACTGGATATAACCTCAGCTTGTTTGTCCTCGGATTTGTAAGACTTTAAGGCAGGCTGAAGCATGCATAAACTGTCTCCCTTTTTTACCCCTGTGAAACATGAAATTGAGGGTTATTTTTAACCAACTTTGAGAAGGCTTTTGTCTCATTGGCTTTGGAATGAGAGGAGCTTTCTAGGGGATGGATGAGCATGCAGGGCCTCTGAGCTGTGTTGTTTTCTCCAGGCACACTATGAAGGGAATAAGTGTCTGGCCACCCCACCCCTTCAAATTAGGGATGCTTATAGGGGAGCTGAGTCTTCCACTCACACCAAGCAGTGGTTGGAGTGGTGAGTGAAGTAGAAACTGCCTGGTGTATGTATGTGTTTGTGCTACAGTGGAGAGAAGAAGTTGACTTTAGAGGGGAAATGGTACAGAATAAATGTGGTGTTTGTCTTATCAACATGAGCTGTGACCATGTAAGTCTTCCATGTTGAATTACTGTGGGGTTGTTTACCAAGTGTGAGACCTGGGTAAGACATGAGTTGGTTTTGCAGAATGAGTCTTCTTTAACCCTTACCCTTCCTTATGGCTCCAGTAGGAACTGATCTGCTGGAATGTAAACAATCATGGATTACAGTGGGATCACTGTTCCCCTTGCACAAAGCCACAAAACCATGGGAACAGCCATTCATACAGCTTGTACTCATCAGGGTCTACAATACTGTAACTGCCACTCAACCTAATGGCAATCCTACCGCCCAAAGCTGTTGCCTAGTATAGTGTATTTATAAAGAACATTTACTTGTTTTTGATTTCATGCACAGGCCATGGCCCTTTCTGTTGTTTGCTGGGGGAAGATGACCACAATGAGCCTCAGTGGGAGGATGCAACACGTAGGGCATTTCAT